TTTGATCTTTTGAGACAACACCCAACTGGCAGCAGCAAGTAGTCCTAGAATGGACCTTCAGTAAGGTCCCCAAGACTAAAAGTTTTCCCATCTGAAGCTCATGATTGGTTCCCCTTAATATAGGGTTTTCCCTAAGTTGCTTTTAGGAAGAGATATGTTTTAACTTTACTTGGTAAAGGAGTCAGTTTGACCCTGGAGTGTGTCCAATGATGAGTGCCTTGGACTCTTGTCAAGTCTTGGTCAACTGTAGAATTAGGGAAAAGGTCTTACTGGTCATTTTCTATTCTAAACCACAGCTAGCAAGAGAGAAGGGCTGACATGAAAGCATGCACTGGGGTAAGCAGGCTGAAGGTTACATAATTCAAGGAAAATAATGTACTGAGGTGCAGCACAATCCTGCAAATGTTCTCAGCCTTGGCAGTGTGTGAACTGGCTAGTGTCTAGGGTGAATAGAGCAGGACATTGAGCGCATCATATCTTCAGAGAAGCTGTCTGGTCCACATAAATTCTCCAGCAATAGTCTTAATGGGCTCTTATAACTCTGGAATGATGAATCTAAGCTGGATTTCTGAAACTTATAGAGGTAGTTATTATGCATCTGGATTATGTATGTGCAGGGGTGTCTACAGCTATGGCTGGACCTTTAGGCAAACATTTATGAAGCTGGTTACAAGCTGCTCCCTTAAATTTTGCATTGTTTTGGGGCCTATATATTGTATAGCTCTGCTTGTTTTGAATTATCTCTAATACAAATGCAGGCTCATTTTCATTGCTACCAATCAAAAGTAGGTCATATTTAGAAGTGATTTCTTATAGAAAAACTCTACAAACTTTTGTTATCTTCTCAATGTAGATAGTGTCTTGTGTCAGCCTGAGCAGATGCAGAGAAGCATCAACTGATATTTGTAGCCCTTATAAGGCTATAGTATAGTGTTTTCAAGGTGTGTATTTCTCAAGTTTTTTCTCATCTATTAACTTAGCTTTTGAAATGTACTCTCCCATGAAAATAAGTGTAATGACTTCACTCCATGTATGCCTCTTTCTGAAATAAATATTCTCCGTCAAGTTCTTGCTCTGCTCAGGGTGGCCCTAAATCAATGATAGTTCTTCCATTTGAGAAGTGAGAAGAATCGCTGCAGTGCAGAACCATCCAATGGAGCCAGTGAAGCTGAGTCTGAGGCTGCTTTACACGTGAACCCTTCTTCTCAATCCCATCTTCTGTACTCTACCTGTGTGTTAGCCTCAGGAGAGCTCCCTAATAAGCTCAGAATCAGCTTACACATGACCATCTCAGACTCAGCTTCCTAGGGAATTCAACCAGCAATAAATTGCACCAGGAGAGGACTGAAAACTATGACACTGACACCCGATTGGAGCTCTGGAATAAAGCATGCCCAGGGTGATGGGCAATATGGCATGTATAGAGTTGGCACAATTTCTATGCATCGTTAATAGTTTCACTGCTGCTGTCAGTTGCTAGGAACTGCTCCAAACTGCCTCACTGCCTTGGCACCCATCTGCTTAGCATTTTGACAGCTCATTGTCAAGGTTCACAAGTGCTCCTTGTTTGGAAAGGACTGAGATCCATAGAGGACAGACTGTTATTTGGGGTTAATATCTGAGAGAGATCCCTTGAAAGAAAACACCTATCTTGAGTACAGATTTGTTTGTAAACTTTGACCACTAGACCACTGTGACTAAGTGTGTTTATCTGCTAGGGCTCATTGTTTAAAAAAGGTCCGTAAGTCTTGGTCACCCAGTAGAGATGTCAGTTTTGCTTCCATCATTAAAAAAAGCCTGCAAGTATTGAGGATGACACTAGTCATGATCTGACTATGATGGCCATCTTTTAAACTCTTCACCTCTGCTCCAAAGAATCAATCTTGATTGATGGGAGCTACTCTTCCCAAAGCATTCCACACAGTCTCCCTGCTGGATGGCACACAGATGGTGACTGATTAAGACAGGATACAAATGGCTGCTCCTTTGTTTAGAGGAGGGTACAGTGTAGGTGTTATTTGTTACAGATATTCCCACTTACTAAACCACTGCTGAATTTTACCTGATACAACCATCTTCAGTGAGGTTTTTAATTTTTTACCTTCTTTGCCTCCCTTTGCATGATTCTATTGAAGGCACTGCCTCAGCAAATCTCTTACTAAGGAATCTTTGGTAAGGTTGTGCCTCTAGGAAATCTGACCAAAGGCCCAAGCAGTCTTGCTTTGTGCTCAAGTATGGAGAAAATCTAGCTGAAGATTCTAAGTGTATTTAAAAGATTAAATATTCTCAATTGTGTTGAACAAGTGCACTACATTAACACAATAGCCCAAATTTGTCAAGCATGTTGTAGAGGCAGGAGGACATAGAAGAAATATGGCACAAAACACTGATGGCCAATGCTGTAAAATCATCACATGCTTATCTGTGGCTGATAATTGTAGGGTCATCATATGGTGCTTGTATGCACCATGCTTGAGAAAATGTACCCTACTCTATCTTCAAATGCAAGTATTACTTGCATTTACAGTGTGCTGACCTTGTCCCTCTCCTAAAAACAAAGGCTAAAACCCTGACTAACCTACAGTACCAGGCAGTGAGACAGTGGTATTCACCAGTCAGTGAAACAACCTTAACCTGTAAGTACCAAGTACACCTCATAGCTTGGATGACCCTATCCTGCAGCACCACTCTGTGGCCAAGACAGCTTCTCTTCTGCTTTCTCTGTATTTGTAACACTTTATGTAACCTTTTGCTTCCTACTATACCAGCCTTGACTCCCCTCATTTTCTGCTAAGAGTCTGCTTCCTTATCCTTCCACAGAGTGAATGTAAGAATATGAAGAGAGGTGGACGGTCACTAAGACTCTGCACAAGACAATATTAAAAAAAAAAAACTTCTAAATTTACTATGTGTTTGATCTTCCCATAATATGAAATATGGAAATGTGTTAGGATTATTTCTACATCTTCCAGATGGGAATTTAAAACTTTCCCTGTTTTACATTATGAGGTATTATCAATTGTCAAATTGTCATAGTTAAAATTATTCATCTTATTCTCCTTCATTATCAGTCAAGAGCTCTAGAATACTTGAAATATAGCCCCTCTTGACTCAGCTGTTTTATGTTAATCCCATTTTCTCTTTTTTAATCAGAATACCTTCTTAAAATAGTTTCATGCAATCAAAATATTTGATTGTTTTACATATACTTGCTTTCTCAGATCTTCTTATGCTTTTTGTTTCAGAATTTCTGTTTAAGAATTCCACACTTGCACCTAAGACAGTTTAGAGAAATTCCAACTTTCCCACTGTAGAGACCTTGGGTAAATATCCACAGGTCTCTTAGAAGGAGAACTTTGTTAATTATCCTGGTCCAAGATCTGTACGATTTTTAACCTTAGAAACTTATGGGTAGACAGCTGATGGGTTTCAGGTATAAAATTAGCTCAACTATGACAGTTGATGGGTCTGAGGTGTAAAATTCAAGTTTAGGGATGGGAAATATTATTGGGGCTCCCTCTCAAATTCATGGAAAGTCTCCTTGATTTCATTTGTTTTCTCCTCTTTGATTCTGAACCTGTTCCTCATCTTCAGACCTCTCCTTGAAAGGACACAGACTACCACTATGACAGTGAAGCTCATTACCATAAATGCATCTGCTAGGATTCTAAAGATTCCTGGGCAGAACCAGCCTCTGGATAACTGTGTCTACCACCTCCCATCAGGAGTTCAGTTCTGAAAAATCATGTTCTTCTCTTCTGCCCTGGCCAACACAGAGACTTACAGGGAATAAAATCTTGAAATTAGGCAAGATGTCTCTCACCAGTGCATATTCTATCTTTAAAATTTTTATTTTTTATTGCTTCACGCTTACAGTGCATAATGATTACACCTCTTGTGGGGAAGTGCACACATGTTACATATCTTAAATATTTTTTCATCCCCTTCCCTTCTCCTCCTCACCACTCACTTCATCTCTTGATTCCCTTCCAATTTGGGAAAAAAAAAAAAACTAGCTTCCTATGTTGTTAGCTTTTTTATGCACTCTTCATTTATATTTTGGATTTGTCTTATAAGAGAAACCGTATGATGTTTATGCTTGTGTGTCTGAATAATTTCACTTAAGATTATGACTTAAATGTGCATCCATTTTCCTATAAACAATACAACTTTATCCTTCTTCATGATAATGTACTGCTCCATTGTGTAAAAATATCATATATTCTTTATCCTTTCATCCATTCAATGAACATATAGGCTACTTCCAAACTTTAGCCATTATGAATTCTCCTGCTATAAACAAGTAATTGTAATCTGATGTCTTTGTCTCTTTCCGGAAGATACCTAGAAGAATAGCCGAGTCTAATCACCTGGGTATGTTCTTAATATGTTTTAATTGTGCTTTGAACAGTTTCAAATTGTAATTCAGGCCCAGGGGTTTAGCTCACTGGCATAAATGCCTGCTTGGCAAACTCAAGTTCATGATTTCAACCTCTGGCACCAAAAAAATTGCAATTCAGAGATGATAATAGAGGCTATGTTGACTTAAATTTCATAAGTCATTGGAACATTTATAACTACTTTGAAGGAATTATAGAGATTAAGAAACAAATCAATAAACAAAAGAGTATTAGGATGAAAATTTTATGATTTCTCAGACTCAAGTCCAGGCTTAAATCCCTCATTAAGCTGACTAATGTCATTTCTGCAAACAATGAGAAAATCCATCATCTTATAGCCATTTTCATCTTTATAACTGGTATTTCTAGTATTTCAGTTTAAATTCTTCTGTTTCCTAATTTTGTAATACATGTAGTCTTACAAAATTTAAAAATAGAATTTATAATAAGAGTTTCTTTTTACTACTGGTTTCTATCTGTTCTCCCCAGAAGGACATAAGCATGCTAGTTTTTCATTAAACCTTTCAAAGACGTTTTGTTTGTATTTTCACATTCATACTTACACATGGCAATGTAATAATTATCACATACACATGTATATTTATTTGTTAGTTTTTTACTTTTTATTTGAATTTTACAATATACCAAAGACAATTGTCTGTTTGGTCAAACAGACCTCCACTGTCTTTTATTATATTTGTTCCAATATAAACCAGACTTAAATTGACATTGTGAAGCACATATTATGACACTGACATTATTTCAAGTGTTTTCCATGAAAAGTAAAAGTCAGTGGGCCTCTGGTGCAGATATTTTATTGCAAGCCTTTGTTTCCAAAAAGATAACATTGTCTTTCAAGAGATGCATGCATTTGTTCTGTGTAATGTTGACCAGACAGTGATATTCTCTAATATGCACTATTTGTTTTAAAATTTTATTGAGTGCAAATGAAAACCATGTGCACTAAAAATAAAACAAAGCAAATACTAAAAATCTCTCATTTCCTTAAATGTAGAGCAAGCTCATGTAACGAAAGATGGCAAAGATGCTAAATGCAGTTGTGCCAAGTGCTACACCAGAAATAAACAATCCTAAAAACATCCCAAGACAAAAGCTAGTCAAAATTCCTTTAATGAAAGCTTCATTATGTTTTTTCATTGCTTCAATCTTTTTCTGTGAATTCTTTGCCTCTTCATTTGCTGCCTCAGATTTCTCCCAAAGTCCTTCTTCAAAGTAATCCCTGTGCAACTAAAAGAAATGGATAAGAATAGAGAAATAAATAAAATTTTTACAATATTTCTACTTTAAGAGTTATACTTCAAAAAGTTATCAAACTGTATTTATATTACCTCTAAATGTTTTTACAATTACAGGAATTAATTTAACCTAGCAACAAAAAAATATTATTGGAATTGGACAAGATTTGGGGAGGAGGAAGCACAGTATTTTCTTATTATTATTTACGCACCATTGATTTCTGCTATGTGGAGGTATGGGAACCAATTCTTTATGTACTTGCCAACCCCCTCCCAATCCCTTTGTTGTGGTCACAAGAGTTTCCATTTCCCTTGGGCATTATGATCACCATATGATGGTGATAATTGGAATTTTTCTGTTCGTCTAAAGTCTGTTCTACAACTTCCAGATGCATAAGATCAGAATTGATTTGGTGCCATATGCTACCGTGTCCGGCTGTCCACAGGTGTTGTTATGGCTGGTATCTAATATATCTTCCAAAACACTCATGTATATGGAAGGTGACTGGATCATCAGAGTGCTGCTCTCACCAGGGCATTTATTCATTGATGATTTCAGTAGTTGGATGTGCTTTAGTCTGTGGGGCATGGTTGGAGGTGGGTCACTGGGGGTAACCGGGATGGGAGTGTTCTTGTCTCCAATTCGTCCACTCTCTGTCTGATTCCTGACTAATATTGTCTGCGCGCTCTTTCCTCAGCAAAGCCCTTGTGCCATGCTGTGTCTTGGAGCCTGTCTACAATGGAATGTTGGAGATTTTGTCCCTCCTTCAGGAAACTGTAGGACACCTATAGACAACTATAGTGGGTTTATAAGTTAGCACTTCCTTGTGCTCTGAAGTGCGGAAAATCCTGATAGTTTTATGTCAGCATAGATCTACTTCAGGGTCTTTGGTGACAGTAGGACTTCTGATAATATGGGTTTGTTAATGCAAAGCAGTTGCTACTGACATCAACAAAAAGTGGTAAAAATTTCTTTTTAATCAGGTCCTGGTTAATCAAGCCCTTGTGAGATTATTTTATGAACTGCCAAATTACAAACACTTTTTTGTATTCTCCAAGAAAATACAGGAGTCAAACTTTCAGAAAACCTGAGTTTTCAGAGTCTGTATATGAAGCAAAATTCAATACAGGTACCTTTAGAAAAGTTAACCACAGGATTCCTGTGTTGGTGAATCTGCAGCACCAAGTTGTTGTGGTGCCTCTTCCATGATCTGGCCATGACCTTCACCATCCTAATAAAGCACCAAAGACACTGCAAGCTACTGACAAGGGGATCACTCACCTTCAGTTGATGATCCAATATTTTTTCCTCATCTTTCAGACTGTTTTCGTACTCTTGTTTCAGTTTCTTTTCTAGTTGTTCCAGATGTTCTCTGAAAGTCTTCTCCTGAGCTGCTATCTTCTGCTCTTGTTCCTGTACTTTCTGTCTTAAAAGTTCCTGTTCCTTCTCAGCTGCCTTCCTTTTGGCCATCTCAGCTGCCTCAGGAAAGTTACAGAGAGGGAAAAAAGAAAGAATTGAAAATTTCTTTCTTCCTGAGCTCAGAGATGAAATCAAATCTGCAAGGTAATCACAGAATTCATGGAAGTCCACGCCACCCACAGTATAGAAGGTGATGGGGAAGGCCCTGTTCATCTAGATAAAAACCCAAAACTCCCCCATGTTCTTTTCACTTTCACAGGATTGTGCATTTCACATAAGAAGGATGCTAGCAGTATGGGGAAGAACTTCTCGTTGGATCACTCAGCATCATCGCAGGACTCCGCTCACCCCTGGGAGTTCAGTCTCATCCTCATACCTTCTATAGTCTTTTTATCAGCAGTGAGAGCTTTATCTGACTGCAGGATGCATTTCCCTATTGCTGCCTGTGACTCCAGGAACCTCTTAAAGACTTCCTCTGCCTGTGGGTTTAAGAATTAAAATGCTTACAATTTGAGAATATTTCTGCAAAACAAATACATGCATTCATTTTGCTTCATGATTAAATATTATAGTGGCTCTCTACAAAGGGGTCAACTTCTTCAGTGTAACCAGAGGCTTGCCACCTCTTCTGATTTCCATCTCCCTTCCTCCAGTCTTTTTTGGACTCTTTCCTACTACCTGCTCTAGGGTTTAGTCAGTCAGGATCATGTGCCTGTGTCAAAACCATAATGTCTGATGCTTTTGTGTATTTCTCTTCAAACAAGACATGCTGACTCTGTACTGTGTTGTCCAGATTTTATTGGCTTTATCTCTACGAAAGTTATTTAATCTGTAGGGGCTTCTCAGCACATTAGTGTAAAATATGCACAATAAATGTAAAACTTAAAGCTATTTGGAGAATATAATTTAAAAGTCAGAAAAAAAGACATAACTAAATTTATTACCAATATCAGTGTAATACATTTACAGTTATAAAGTTTATCACTACCACATGTATCTCTCATTTTTGCAGTTCATAGTGAACAGAATATGCCTGTCTCTATTTAGCTGGTTCTGTTTCTCTTATTTTCTTCATGCTAGAGAGCAAAACCTCTAACTGAACAATATAAATCTCTTGCACTAAGAACTCTAATCACATTGTAAGGCATCTTTTTTGAATAATGAAATGAATAATTTTTGCTTTTTCCATCTTGGAGTCCTGAACTACTTAGTGCTTTAGAAATCAACACTTTTATTCTCAGGGACATACAGTAAATACAAAAAACTAAAATGAAAACTGGCTTTCTGGGAGTAGCCCACTGCTCTATCACATTCCTAGCATGCTAAGAGCCTATTTTGGATCCACTGGGTGAGGAGGGTAAACATTTCATGCTCCTTTTCCGTTTTCTTATTTTCTCACACCTTGTTTTAGAGCATTCTTGATATTACTCTCTGGACTTTCCCAGGCTACCCTACTCCTCACCTTGACTCCTTTCCTAGGCACTTGCCTATAGTCCTCTTCAACTTTTTTCCTTGCTTCCATGTATAGTTGGTACCCTCCAGGAACAAAAAATGTTCCTGTTGAAATGTTTTCCATTAATGCTTTTGAAAGTAGATTTAGTTTATCCTGGCAGTACTGGTCAGATTCCTTTTCATTCTTCAGTAAGAAATCATCCTTCTTCTTCTCGATAATTTTCTGCAAGAGAAATGTACACAGATAGCACTAGAAAAATGTCTCAGAGAGGAAATATTATCCCAGAGAACCTGACAAAAAACTCAACCTGTTTTTATTACAGAATTATTCTAGTTTAGTAAGATGTGTGATGAAGGAGAAATCATACAATTCAACTTATTCAAAACACTGAGAGCTTTCTGCTATGTAATGGAAAACTCAGAAACTTTTGGGACCTCATGATCCTTATCTGTGAAATAAAGGGACTCATTCCACAAGGTCTGGTGGTTTCTTAGAGCTGTGTGTCCTCTGGTTGTCAATGAGCCATGCTCTGGAAGGACGATCTTGTAAGAGAAACTTAAGTTTTCAACAAAGAGCAGGGGCACATTGAAAAACCAAACATATGAGAGATGATCAAGGAGTGCTCTAGGCAGGCTTGCAGTTCTCAGAAATATTTATCAGAATCCACTGGAAGTAATAAAGAGGACATTTATTTGGATTATGTTTCAATTACCTAGAGAAATACTGCATAGTGGGCCTGAGATTTTTTGTTTTTATTTTTTAGTTTTTTTAGTATTGGCATGGAGTGTGAGAGACTCGATTGTCAGTGACAATCCAAAATATTTACCTTGGAATGTGAAACAAAAATGAGTTCAATAAAGTCACTTCTAGGCTGTACTTATCAGGATGAGATCAGCAAAAGCACTGAATAAGATACAGTACCACTAGCTCCTCCTGGAACTTCCCTTCATCCTTGAAAGAGCACTCCATGAAGACTTCGATGGCCTCCTTCTCGCAGGCCGCGTGCTCCTCCAGCAGCTCCTGGAGCGAGTCTGTGGGAAGCTGCAGGCGCTGGGCCATCTGCTCGCTGTAGTGGTCAGCTGCCTTCTGCACAGCTGCTGTGTTCTCACGCTGGGCCAGAGTGGTCACTGCGTTCTCCAAGCAAGGCACTGCCCCACTGTTGATGGCCTTCACGTAGGTCTCCACCAGAGCCCCCAGCCCTCAATGATCCAGAAATTGTAGGGGATAAATAGGAAACTTCTAATTCACTGGGTTCTAAGATTATTAGACTAACCTTTAAAATCAGTATGCTTCCATCTTTGTTTCTCTCTCCTATGTACAATTTTCTCCTATTTTCATCCTCATTCTTTTCTGAATCCCTCATTTCTGTTGTGCCCCAAGTCAGGGATCTTAAAAAATATTTAATATTTAACTCTATGTAATATATTACAGTGTACATAGAAAAAAATTTCAAAATTTAAATTTCATAGAAAGAGGACAAAAGGAAAAAATGGAAGCAACGCTTTTGTAAATAAAAAGAGGAAAAGGTGTTGAAAGGAGGGTATAAGGAATAGGGGGAAAAAAGAATCAAGATATATCATATACAGGTACAAATTGCCTGTAATAAACGTTAGGATTATGTATACCTGAAATGTACAAGTCAACTTATTTCACAAAATAAAGAGATCCCACAAACATAAGCCACCTGCCTCCCCAAAGGGAAAAAAAATAAAATAAGAAGGAAAAATAGATTATAGAAGTGACCAGTGAGCTAAGTTACCTCAGTGTATATTTGCCCCTAATTCTGAATCTGCCAATAGATCTTCAGGCAGTTAGAGGGTAATATTTAGGCTGCTTTAAACATTTAGAAGTGTTTCTGGTTCTCAATGCACAGAAGAATTCATATGTAGGGCTTTCTCTGAACAAATAGTCTTGTATCTGTTTTCATACACAGTAATTTCATTACCAATGGAATATTTTTTTCAAATGTAGAAACTACATGTACTTGTGAAAAAGCATATAACTTTGAAGAGAAAAGAACCTATAAATCTCAACAAATGAGATCATTATAAATTATAAGCACTTCTTTATGGAGTATTAATATATGTATACCATGGTAATAATAATTAAATAAAAATAATTTATGCTCATTTTATAATCTATACAACATATATTAGTGCAACCAAAGATATGTAGATAAGACTCACGATTCCCAGTAACCACAATTCCTTCTTTGAGGGTCTTGACTTTTGCATTAGTGAAGACATAAGAACAGAAATCATGTGTTTGTTTTTGGAATTGAGGATCAAGTTGGTCTTCTGAGAGATTCTCTAGTTTGAGTAGGTCATCTCTGTTATTCGTTGGCCGATCAAAGACAAAACACTTCCGCTCTGGAAAGAAATTCCTTATGCACTCCCTGGCAAGATTGGATTTTTGTGCTTTGGGATTGTTACCTAAAGAATGGGAAAAGAATAAAACAGGATAGTCTTGAGATGTAAAGATAAAAGGTTCTTTTTTTCATCAAAATTTCATTAGAAATGAGTACATGGAATACATTTAATGTAAATATTTAACATTTTGCCCATCAAAATTGTATCAATATTATAATGGGAAAGATTTTTGAGGTATATATATATATATATATATATATATATATATATAACTTCGATGAAAAAGAAAATTTGACTGATATTCCCAGACCAGAATATGGCACCAATTATAGAATAATTCACTTGATGTTTACTGACTGAATAAAAGATCAAATGTAAATTTCTAGTCAACTCAATTGTTTCTTGAAATTAAATAGCAGAATCAAAATGAAGAGAGATTTATAGGATACAATGGAATAATACTTCAAATAAAAGCATTAGAATAATAAGAATGCTCTCATGATTTAAAAAATCCATTTTGATGCTAAACATATTTTATTTAATATTCCAAATATGTAGAAATAGGCAATAAAGCTGTAGTTTTCAGGAGTAAAGGGAAAATTAAGAGGTGTAGAAGACACAATGTAGTAGATCTATAGGGTGTACAAGTCTAGAGACTTATTATACAAATGAGGCTAGAGTTAACAAAACAATTGTAAAGCTTTTACTGAAATGGGTCAATTTTACCACAAATAACACCTACGCAAAATGGTAAATGTGTTGTTTGCTACATGATAAAAAGCACTGTCCTGTCTGCATGTATCCAATATCTTCATGCCTGAAATATACACTATAAAGTTTACTTTCTAATATTTCACACAATGTTGAATTTTAAAACAATCACAGCCGGTCTAAAAAGTCTGTGTGATAAAGGATTATGTTTGATTGAACAGCTTTTTCTCTTTCTGTTTGTCACTATTTCAATCGATGTTTTGAGAAAACAGCAGTAGAAAAATGAAAGCAAGAATGAGTAAATCAGGCCAGCTGGAGATGAACCAGGAGGCCGCAAGCCCTCCTTTGAGTGCCAACCAGCACCTGGCAGGAGAGAAGAGCCATCCTTCTTCCCAAGCTTAAGCAAGCAGCTGATTTGAAGGAATACGAACTGAGATGCCAGCTACTAAAATGAAAAATAACAACTTAACACTTGAATCATCTGGTTGACTTTGTAGTAGTCTGGGCAATTATTTATAGAATAACAATATGCAATATGATGACTACTGTGGAATTCCTACTGTCCTGTTTGTGAAATCCAATATTGTTTTTATTGTTTTTTTTGTTTCATATTATTGTTTTATTTTATTCCCTTTAAGATAAGAAAATGAGTATGTTGCAAATGATTATTTTTCACAAAATATTTGGATAAACACCTTGTAAATAATTTACAAGTAATCTGTCAGATGCTAATATCAAATTTGAAATAATAGCATGAATAAATATATTGGAGTTAATTGAAATGCGTGTTATTAATGTAAAGTAAAATGAATGTATGGTAGCAAAAATGTAACAGGCAAGAAAGGAAATGCAAATACTTTCTTTGGTTTACCTAGAACATACAGTTATTTCTGTATGGTCACTTTTAGGAAGTTTCATATCACTATTAGGAAGTTTTATTCATTCTTCAAAAGCATAAGGTAGCTTGAGGATTTAGCTTAGCGGCCTAAACACCTGCCTGGCAAGCACTAGGTCATGAGTTCAATGCCTGGTACCAAAACAAACAACCCCCCCAAACCCCATACTGTCTCATTGTGTGAAACAAACACACATAAGAGAGAACTGACTGCACTGCAGTGTCAAGTTTAACAGCTCTGCCACCAATTGCTCTAAATGGAGGAAGCAGACATCGTAACTGGCTATGCAAGGGACTAATTTTAGAAACTTATAGCATTCATTGGAATCTGGATGCTAAAGTATGAATTCTGTAAATAATCACTTACTTTTGAATAATTTCACTGTATTTCATGGTCTATCAAATTTAAGTGAACTGAAATGTCAGTTTTTTAGAGTATCCACCCGATACACTGGTCCCCATTTCTAAAGGCTTCCAGCCAGTTCCAAGTACAAGTGGAGCCTTAGAAATCACAGAGAATGCCAGCACATCCAACCTCCAGAAACTCCCTGACCGGACTTCGCTCTGGTACCTTTAATCAGCTTCAAAGCATTCTGCAGGTACTGATCCTCTGTGATGGGCTGACCTTCCAACTTCAGCTCCAGCATGAAATCCCGTACAGTCCAGATGAAGCTGGGGAAGAAACTCACAAACTCTGTGGAATCTTTTACTCCATCAGAATTTGAGGAGGACTTTGCCCTGATTAGTTTTGTGAGCTCTGTCACATAACTAGACTTGGTTAAAGAAAAGAATATTCCCACTAATCATTCCTAGGCTTTCCTTATTAAAAAGTAGAATTAGCTTCTCTTTTACCCTAGGTCACTTATGATCCACCAAACTCAAATAAGCCACAGAGAAGAAAAAAATAATTCAATATTATTTCCCAAAAATCTCCAGTGTTATCTGGTGGCTGAGGTCCAGGAAGGATACTACAGCTGCTCCAGGGCCTGGTGGTTGATGGTGCCCATGCTGTTGTAGACAAAGGTGCTGCTCAGAAGCACAGCCAAGGCGAAGATCCAGGAGTCATTCACAGAGTCGCCCTAGAGAGCACAGGTGTTTAGGAGTCTACTCTTCAGAATTTCATTCAGACATTTATTGTATCAGTCTTTCATTTGCAATTTCAGTGCAAAAAAAACCCCCAAAACCCAGACACTAATGCAAACAACAGCTCTGGTCATTATAATAATTTGATATTAAAAGAAGATTATAATGTTTACAAAATTCTACTCTTCACAAATTAGAGAAAATACGTGAACATATATAAATTCAAGTATTGTGCCAAGTTTTATGTGTGTAATCAGTGATGGAAGTAGCATGTCTTCATTCTGCACATATTTACTGGTTGAAAATCATATACAAGAAAAATACATATTTTGGAGATGTTGGGTAACAAGTACAAATTAGTTATATAAAGGAAAATATATTTTGTTTTTATTGTTTTTAAAAATTAACTTTAAAGAAAAAAAAGAAAAAAACTTACAAGGAGAAACAAAGGGAAATGCCTGTTTATACTAGAGTGAAAATGTTTTGTATTTGTTTTGATATGACACCAAAAAGAGCAGGTGACAAAAAAAAAACCATTGGACAAATGGGACAACATTCAGCTAAAATGGCTTCTGCCAGGAAAGAACTCATTCATGTGAAATGGAAACTACAGGATGACGGAAAATTTTTTGCAAAACACGTATCTGGTAAGCAGTTAATGATAAAATATTTAAAGAATTCCTATAACTCAGTAGCAAACCCATACAAATAATCCAATAGAAAATGTACAAGCAATTGCAATATATGTTTCTTTCAAGAAAGAATATAAATAGCCACTAGATTTATAAAAAGATGTTCATTGTCACTGATCATCAGAAAAATACAAAACCAAACCAATAGAAGACATAACATGACGTCTATTCATATCACTTATCAAAAAGCAGAACATAAGAACTGCTGATGAGGATTAAGGAAAGAAACCTTATATCTATTATTTGGAATGTAAATTAGAGTAGACATTACAGAAAATACCATGTAGTTTTCCTTGCAATATTAAAACAAGAAGCACCAAATTATCCAACAATCTCATTCTACATACGGATCCTCAGGAAATAATATCAGTGCCTAAAAGAGAAATGTGCACTTCTGTGTGTATTGTACCATTGTTCAAAACAGGTGAGGTTGAAGAAAAGCCATATTCTCTATCAGTGAATGAGTCAGTAAATATAATGTGTAATACATTTATCAACCTTGGTAAGGAAGAGAATCCTACCTTTTACACTGTTACATTTAAAAGTGTTATGTTTAGGGATAAAGTCAGCTAGAAAAAGTGAAATATTCATTATTTCATCAAGTGGTAGAATACTAAGAGCAAAAAAAAAAAGGAAACAGAAAAAAAAAAGAAAAAGAAAAAGTTAATCCATACTAGTAGAGAATACAATAGTGTTTTTTAACAAAATTGAGAAATGCAGAGACCATAGACAAAAGAAATGAAGTTTTATTTATGCAACCTAAGTGATTTCTGAGGACTAAAGAATGGCTTAGTAACCATAGTTACCAACAGAACATTTTATACTTGAATTTGCTGAAAGGCTACAAGCTACATGTTTATGGTACAAAAAGGAAATAGCAATTATGTCAGGTCTGGATACATTACTTGGTGGTCATCTCATAATACATATCAAAATGACACTCAAAATATTTACACTCAAGTACACATTTTGTTGATCATATTACAATAAAACTGAAAAAAGTAAAATCTCTCACTCGTTTTTGTACAGAAACCATTAGTATTTAAATTTATACACTATTCACAAATACATCATGAAAGAAGGGACAAAAGGCAAATCATTACATTGTTTGGAAGTTAAAATACCAAAACTCCATCTTAGAATGTTTATCATAGAAAAAATGTTGTATGGAACCAGCACACTTAGAGGCTTCTTAGAGACTTCCAGAATGTTCTATGGATAGTTAGGGAGATTCATCATAAGGAATCCCCAAATCCATACTTCATTTGTGGACTGGAAGTGGATCAGAGACCTTTCCTCAGATAATGAGGTGGGGCTGGCACCTCACCACCCTCTGTTCCAGATACCCATATGCCTAACTATACATGGCGAAAGAGTGATGTGAGCACACATCGCCTTCTGCAACTGGAAGACTCATTGCCCAGCTCTGGACAGAGTTGGTGGAAAACATCCTACATGTGTTAGCTCTCTTATGAGACAATTTTCAATGGCCAAATTCTAGTGATTGATCATTGCCAGTGGTAATGACTCAGCACTCAGCACCCAACCAACAGAAAGTATCTCAAAAGAGCAGGTCCAATCAATTGTCCCTCTGCAAACTGACAGAGGCCAGGGACTTCACAGTGCAACCTCATTTTCTGTTCAACGCGCTTTTCCTGTCATCATGTGCTTTCCAAAACTGTACTGAAGACTATATGGGGATCAAGCTTTAATCCTGCTCAATAAATTCTGCACTGCTATTCCAGACCCTGGAACTTACTTGGTCAGTGTTTTCCTTTTACTGAATGAAGTTATTCACATCAGTGTCAAGCAATGCGTAATTGACTTAAAATATCATGATACTAGGTGTTATCTAGGAATGAGATTCAAGCAGTGCAAAATTTGCCTCATTCACTTGTTTGGTGTCTTCTGTATCATAAACAGATTGCAGTAGTCAAATCTTGGAAAGAAGGCAGACTAAAATAAAAAAGATCGGTCTGAGATTCTTGGCCTCACCTTTTCCACATCACCCAGACCCTCTGTGTCTAGAAGGACCAGAGTGTGATTTGGCTTGGTGGGGTGGGGCACACACCACATCCAGATGCCCTTGGTTTCAGATTGCACTGTGGAGCCCAGAGGGAAACCTGAAGGGAAGAGGAGAAAGAGCAAACAGTGAGCACAGCTCCACCAAGTAACAGAGGGAAGATAGGCCAAGCTTCGTTGGACTGTGACTACTCAAGCAAAAAATAATAGTGCCTTCTCTATTTTGAGAAGGATGTCTTACTTTATAAGTTGTGTTTTAGGTGGGGGCACATTAAATATAAGAATAATGACACTAAAGGGCTCAAGATGACCACAAACAGGCATAGAAATCTAACAAAATGGAGGCTTCTGGTGGCTACAAAAATACTATTGGTAAATTAGGGTGAGACTCAAAGTCAGAGAAGAGCAAACTAAAGAGGGACTTGAGAAGAGAAAAGAAAAGTAGAAAAAGAAAACTGGAATATATTTTGTATTAAAAGATGCTAAGAAGAAAAAGATGAAGGGAACAGCAGACTTGATAATCACAATATAATAGCAAGTCTAAGGGGCATCTTAAAGATGACAAATATTGAAGGGTCTCTATATTGAGACAGGAGGATTATGTAGAAAAGTGACAATATCACCCACAAAGTACACCCTAATTTGCAGATTGACTTGCAGAGAGGCTGGAGGCTAGTCTGCACAGTCCCTGCATCCCTGCTCACCCTAGATGACAGCAAATTGGGGAGGACAGCAAAAACTCAAGTCAACACACTTCTGAAAGGCCCTAAGCAATATGGAGAGGGCCAGAGACCCCCAGGACACTCCAGTATGAAAGAAACCAGAAACATGACAAGAGATAGAAATTTTTAAAAATCTCCAGCTGCCCAACATGAGAAAATAAGTCCAGGAGAAGTAAACACTGAAGAGAACAAGCACAGTAACCATCTAATAGTGGACACAGCATCAGCCAAAAAAAAAAAAAAATACCTCCATGACCTCATACATGAATTTAAAGCAGTACTCCTGATCCAAGTGAGGCAAGATATAAAGAGATTAATTAAAGAAATGACAATCCCTGCCCAAGAGAACACAGATGGAAGAACTGAGGAAATCAGAAAAGAAAGAGAAACTTCTGAAGAAGAATTTAAACATAACTTAGAATACATGAAACAGATCCAAAGAGATTACCAGGAAACTAAAAACTCCATTGAACACTGGCAAAATGCCTTGACAGAAACTAAAGTCAGCCTTTTGAAACTTGAAGAGAGATTTATCATATATAATCATGAAAGAAAAGATCTCTTAAAAATAACAAGGAACCAGAAAGAAACAATTCAAGGGCTAGAAGATGACAAAAGCATACATAACTTAAGAATAAAGAATGTGAGTGAGGAAGCAGGAGCAACCAAAAATGAAATACAAAGAATATTCACAGATACATTAAAGCAAAATTTCCCATGTATAACAAAAAGAAATGATATCCAGATAAAAGAGGTGTACAGAACACCACCTACCTACAACCAAAACAGATCTACACCCAGACATATAATAATCAAGATTCCAGAAATCCACCAAAAGAACAGAATATTAAAAGCAGCCAGAGGAAAAAAGCAGATTACCTACAATGGGAAAATTATCAAAATAACAACAGACTTATCAACACAAACTCTTAAATCAAGAAGGGAATGGGGAAAAATATTCCAAGTCCTGAAAAAAAATAATATGCAACCAAGACTCATATACCCATCAAAACTCTCTCTCAAAATTAATGGAGAAATAAGATGCTTCCAAGACAAGGAGGAACTGTGGGAGTTCGTGGCTACCAAGCCAACCCTACAGAGAGTGCTGAAGGACATTCCAGAGAAAGAGAAGAAGGCATACCACCATTCCAGCAACAGTGTCAGAGAGGCCTCAGTGAATGGGGCAGACAGTGGAAAGAGGGAGTAAGGTGGACAAATTATAGCAGTAAAGTGGTGTAGCAGACATGAGGCAGAGACGGTAAGCTATAGCCTTTAGTATAGATAGCTTTGATACACTACAAAAAAAGGCAGAGGTCATTGTTAATAGTGTATCAGGATTTAAAAGTCACAGTAGCCTTATCGCTCTGTTTAGTTTGAATTTAACTTGTTCTGGTCTGTCCACTCATATCAGATTGGAGGGCACAGACATCTGACCCAAAAATAGCAGGTTATACTATGGTAACTATCCTTAATTTCCTATTAACTTAAGCTGAAATCCTGTACTACTTATATTGTCTTACTATGACTGATCTTATTTGAATCTGATTCATAAGACCGCAGTTTTGCCTTGGCTGATTTTATTTGAATTTGATATGCTTGATAGTATCAACCCTAAAAGTAGAGGCAACTACTCTGAAGATGACAAGATGTAAAAGATATCCATACTAGTATTAATTATTAACAGCTCTCAGGTCCTACAATGTTTTCAAAGTTGTGTTATTATAAAAATAGCTAGGTAATACTATGTTCAACTATATTAAGCCCGGTGATGTGGATACGACTATTGAAAATAACAAGAGAAAGCATAGTAACTACCGTAGATCACCTAATATTGTGTTCTTACGTGTCTTTTTCACTGCATGTTTTTCTAGGAATTGGGTTTTTGTTTGTTTGTTTGTTTTGTCTTTTTCATTTTTATCGGTATCAGGGATCGAACTCACAACTGCCTGCTTGCAAGGCAGGCGCTTATGCCGCTGAGCTAAATCCCCAGCCCCTAGGAATTTGTTTTGCTGTCTTGTTATGATTTGTTTTCCCCTATAATACAGAGAGGATAGATACACATGTAGAAATTCACACATGAGATTTTTTTAAAAAAACTATTTAGGGGAACAGATTATATAATGCAATATGTAATGAACAGATACTCTGAAGAAGAAGAGACACTAAGAAACCCAATGCTAATTCTGTAGCATTATGATATAAAATCTAGCAATACTATTATTCACTGATCAGAGTGATATTAGTCTAGTCTCTTGAGTTCAATTTCAGCATATTTAAAGATAAGGACAGCTACTATGAAGAGAATGAGAAATGAGATGGTAGGTATTATTGTCTTCCCCAATGTCAGATCTTGGAGACCTACAAAGCCTTCATCATCCTGTGATGATTTGATTAGTTCTATAATATGCAGTATGTATTTAATGTGTATGAAGATGGGGACAACTATTTGGAAGAAACTAGAGACAATTAGATAGACAGTGAAGATCTCCAGTGGACTTGCTTTGAAATCTGTATTTCTTTAAATTGTTTTTTTAACTGTTTTGTTCTGTTTTGGTATGTTTAATCTTACCCTCTTTAAGATAGAAAACAAGTGTGCAGGACTGATAACCATATTACTAAGTTTTTGTTGGATCATTGAGCAGAACTGTTGGCAGTGTCACTATTTGAATGTCATTTTACATACTTTAATTTTGTAACCTGAACAGCTATTTCTAAGATGATAATATGTAACTTGTCAACTGGTGATTTCTTGCCATTTATTTTTCTATAATTCTGTATTATTTCTACCCTTTTTATCTCCATGTTATTTTTTTTTTTTGTTTCTTTCTCTTTAAATAAATTTTAAAAAAAAGAAAAGTCACAATGTGTTGTAGAAGGGAAAAGATACAGAAGCCTAGTGACTGAGGATGTAAGAAAAGGTGGAATAATGAGCTTTAGAAGAATGTGTTATCTTCCATGACAATAAGAAAAGCATACGGGAACAAATGAGAACAATGTTTTAATTTGGTGGTCAGAATTAAAATGAGACAGTTGCTCCACTGAGAAGATTTGGGTTCCATGTTCATGTGCCTGACAAAAATGACTAAAAAGCTGAGATGCAGCAGACATCAGGCAATTGGCCCCACTCCAGGACAGCACTCACCACTGTTCCTTCCTGCCAGGCGGTTCATCAAGTAGGACTTTCCAGTACGGTACAGTCCAACAATGGCTACCACCACCACTGGATTAGAAATCCTGCCAAGAATCTGTATGGCTTCCTGGTTCACAGACAGGTGCTGATTAACATTTTCTATCAGACACTGGGGGGCCGACATTTTAGGTCCAGATGCCATAGCAGCTTGCCAAGCTAAAATAATGAAAAGAAATCTGTATATATTAGTGACAAGGGTTGCACAAGGATGTGATTACACCACATCATTGAAACATACATTTAAATATTGTTAAAATCATAACTATAATCATATCTACTTTATTATTTGTCATATATATTATATATAAAAATATATTTATGTTAGATGTATTATGAATATGTATTATGCATTTTTATATAAGCAAACACCAAGACACCAATATCTGGATAAAGCAACATCTTTTCTGTTCAATACTGCTGTAATCACTTCCCTGGCATAATAATTCTCTGAGAGACATTGGTTATTTTATGTTTTTTGTTCAGTAACTTGCTATAGTACTTTTATGAATATTATGCTTGCAGTTAAAATTTTCTCTCAAGTCCCTAATGTATTCAGAGGTAGGGCTTTGGACGTTGGTTGGATCATGAAGGGGGGTGTTACTCCTGTGAATGGATTAATCCATTAGTAAGTTCATGGCTGAATCCTGTTAGAAGGTAAAGGCCTACTTGGAAAAGGTAGCTCACTGCAGACATGACTTTGGCTGATTTATCTCCTACTCATTTCTTCCCTTTTATCTGTTTCTAGCCACTAGGAGATACATAAGGGCAATGATATTTTTCCCTAAGTGGCAGCCAACCATGCAATAAATCCTCTGAAAATTTGAGCCCACATCAAATACTCTTCTTTTAAGTCCTTTAAGTTGAAGGGATTGAATATTTGTCTCACCAATGGGAAAGCTAACTAGTATAGAAAACTAGATGAGAGAAGTGGAGATGTTACTGTGAATAATACCTGACCATGTGATTTAGAAATCTTTGAGGTAGATTTGGGGGAAGCGTTGGAAAGATTAGAGATGTGAGTTATAGAAATTTTAGAATACAGTATCCCATATTTAATGAGAGATTCTGACTGAAAGTTGATACAAACGTGAACAATGAAGGCTCATGAAATTTCAGATAACAATGAGAGCACAATTGAGAATAACAAATTTCAGCCCAGCTTGTGAAACTTACTGACATAGTAAGAATGTCTCTTTCTCAAAGAAATTAAATTAACAATATCTATGGATGTAGCTCAGTTCCAATTGAGTGTGTTCAATACTCAGTACCAAGAAACAAAAAGTTGTAGGAGAGGTGCCAGAGAATTACCACAATAGTAGGATTCTCTGTTTTTATTCTGATACTATCTATGAAGTTTATCATTGTCCTGTGAATCTCCCCTCATATTTTTGGATGTCATTTTATTAAATTAGTTGTTCATAGAATTTGTTATTTTTTGAAATTGGGATATATAAACACAATGTTGATTCAAGTGACCCAAATATTTATTTTATAATTATACATCAAATATTCACAATGGATTTGATTCCATCGATACAGTTCTATCATCGACTTGTGTAGTATTAAGCAAGGAGATTGGTCTACCTAACCCAAGAATTTTATGATAATTAATGATGTACAATAAAATATAATTGTAAGTCCATCTGGAGGATGTGTTAATAATTAAAAGAAATAGCCGAACCTTAACATAGCATGTGTCACAAAATAGAATTTCAGTGTGTTATACACTAGAAAAAAGAACTTTGTTATATTTGTATATACCAAAATACTTGTAATCTGGCGTTACTGTATATATGTTTCCCTTCCCCCTTCTCCCTCTGGGTGACCTAATTGATATGTTAATCAACGCTCTCCTCTGTAAAGAATTGTAAATTCCTACAAGACTTCCCTGTCCTCTCCTAAAGGAAAGGAAGGTTATTAATTGCTGCTAAACTCCTCTATTCTCTGCTGAGGAAAACAAGATCTTCCACATTAGCCTATTTCCTGATCCAGGCCCATGACCTTTACTTTGGAAGTTGTGATAAGTACTAGGAGGGGCGACAAGTTTAGAGGAAGGACATAGCTTTTGCAGTCTCTAGCTGCACTGTGTTGCTGGGCCCAGGGTAAAATAAATCAGCGCTGCTTTTTAAAATATGTTTTTGCTTCATTTTTTAAACTCGAGTTAGGGGGCTTGTTTGTGGATTACAAGAAGTGAACTTTTGTTGATTTACATAGAAATAAATAAAATGATTATTATAAACAAATGATCTAGTAGATTCTATATTTCATCAGAATCTTTATAAATTATTAAGAAGTAGAAATTTACAAATCACTTTTTCACTGGAACAGAACAGTAGTCAAGTTCAAACAAAATGTGCCTGTACAATTTTCTTCCCCAATTTTTATTTTTCTTCTGGGGATAAGGAATATGGAGGTAAACCATGAGCTCAGCATCTGCCTTGTACCTCCTGGACCTGAACTATATTCTGTCTGAAATGCAGACTAAAATTATTTCTAGGATGATATGGTCATCACTACAATAATTCTACATATGTCTCTGTTAGAGTTGAATAAATCAGGGACCATTTAGCTTCATATAAACTTAGTCCATTGGTTTGCTTCCATTCAGGAGTGGCATTAAAACTCTGAAGTACATGAGAATCCCTTTAAAGGATTGCTAACAGCTGGCTTCCCAGGCCTAAGTACCCATACGTTACCATGTGCCACAAGTGGCTAGGATGTTCCTTTAAGAAAAAAAATAATCCTGCATAGTACAACTATTTTTTACTATAGAAAGGATGTAGGAACTTAGTCTACGTCTGCACAGATACTTGCGATGCTTTTGCTCAGAAGCTTTCTTAAGTATAATTGCTAGAAAGATTTAAAAAACTACATTTCATTATAATTAACTGGAAGGCTTTTCTCTTTGTGTTCTAAAGCTAAGGCAAATACTGTTGAGAGTCTGGCAGGCATCTGTCCACAGCCTTTCCTGGTCAGCTTGTTCCTGCTGCTGCTGCTGCTGTAAACAGATGGTCAGGGAGCTGTGCATTCCAGGACTCGGTTTGCCTGTCTGCCACTTTCCTCTTACTAGCAAACTCTGAGATGCCTGAGAACTGAAACCAGAGGTAGACTCCGGGATATCAGGCACAGGAAATGACAATTCTTGTCCTTCCTCAGCTCCTTTGAAGGAGAAATCAAGGCAAGCTCAAAAATGATTTGCATGATAGAAGTGAAAATGAACATATCTAATCCAGCACACCAGTGGTCCAAGCAAAGTACTCAGTTGCCTCTTACCTTTTGCTGTTTCTCTTTGCACTTGCTTGTCTCTTCTTGTATCAGCTAAAATTGAAAGAGGAATAGATGACATGAAGAAGAAAAAAATCTTGAAAGTTAACTATACCCACACACATGCTTCATTCATGCTAAAACTGAGAGTAAAGTATTTTGCAGGGCTGATAAAAATATGGAAAACTTTCCATAATAACGAGATTAGATTTAAAAAGAGCTTTGCAAGCCAAGTGTGGTAGCACACATCTGTAATCCTAGAGCTTAGGAGGGTGAGAACAGAAGGATTTCCTATTTAAAATCTACCAGGATTCTCTCAAAAACAACCCAAAAGTTTTTTTTTTTTTGTTTTGTTTTGTTTTTCCAAACAGACTACACTCATCCCCTGAAATGAAAGCAATGAACTAAATAACATTTCTCAATCAGTTTATATGCAATACAATCTGTGTTCTGGTGAAACTCCACAAAGTAAACCTCATTTTCACTGAGAGAAAAATATTGATCACAACACTCAAAAAAATGCATGACCCTATTTCAGAAAAACAAGCTTAAATATTGCATGGTGTCTCTTTAGGAGAAACATATATGTCTGAAAGTAAATAAAATAGAAGATAAATAGAGAATATGTAGAAGATCCAATAATTCCACAAATTTTCTATTCTGTTGTTTAAAAAATATTTAAGATATATAACAAATTTGTTTCGTTTATATGACTAGTTTCCTTTTGTTCATTGAAAAGAAAGTTTTGTCCTTTTGTTTATCTCTTCCTCTATGATTTTTACTTTGAGTGACATTTTGGCCATTATTTTAAGACCCCATACACTGAATAAACTACTGCTTTTCTCTCATTATTTTGTTATGAAACTTTGGTTTATGATTTCATAAAGGTAAAAAGTACTTTTAGCAATTGCCTTATTAATATCTACTTTATTGCATTAAAATAAAAACTTTAAAATGTACTAGAAAAGAACTGAGTACCATCTGAATAATATTTACAATTGAGACATGTTTATGATAGTGCTCTGAGCTTATTAGAATGGAAAGAAAACAACAGCTGGTAAATAGATAAATAAGAATAAGAACAACCATTTGATATATGTTAAGTTATTAAAAGCAATTATTTACTTATTTTTGGTTTATCTTTTTTTTTTTTTTTTGTACCCAGAATTGAACTCAGCCTCTTGCTTTTCAGGCAGGTGCTTATATTAAAAACACTTCCTATAATTGACATCATACTAAATTCTTAGCATTTGAGTGTTTCAAACATTCACATTTCCCACCATAGCTCATTTAAGTATCTGCTTTCTGCTTTCTTCTCCACTCTAGGCTTTGTTATGATTACAAGGGTGATCACAATATAAAGCCATTAAAGAACCTAAATTAATTTTAACTCACTCTTTGATCACTTCAGAAAGTCTTAAATCCGTGACTTAAGTGTAAATGCTAGAAAGATAAAACCTGTTCATTTCATTGTAATTAACCGGAAGCTGCTTGTCCTGGAAGGCTTTATGCTCTGTGTTCCAGAGCTGAGGCAGCACTGATAGAGTCCAGCAGGGCTCTGTACACAGCCCTTCGCAGTCAGCCTGAGGCTGATGCTACTGTAAATTAATAGTCAGGGAACTGTGCATGGGAGGCCCCATGTTCTGGCTACCTCAAGCCTGCATTAGCAAAGTCTGAGATTCTCCAGAATTAAATCCAGACACAGACCACAGAGTGTCAGACACAGGCAAGTGACAATTCCTATCCTTCCCTCTGCTGCTACTTTGAAGGAGAAATCCAGTCAAACTGAAGAATAATTTACATGATAGGAACAGAAAAGTAAATGAACATACCTGTTCCAGTGCACTTAAGTATAGTTCCCAGTCGCCTCTCACTCCTTCTTGTTTCTCTTTCTACTTGTCTCTCCTTATATTAGCTAAAATAGAAAGTGAAAGTACATAGGAAGAAGAAACCACTCCCTGGCAGCTAATTGTACCCACAGGTATGTTGCGTTTATGCTAAAGTATTTCCCAACACTGATTGCTAGAAGAGGCGTGTCTGAAATATCTGACCAAGTCTGAATGTGGATGTTTGCAGCAGAAATGAGAAGAAGTCAGAAAGCCCACAGGTACTGTGTGGTGCTATCCCAGTCAACACATCCTGCCTGCTAGCTTTTGTCCTCTTTGTGTTGGAAGACTTCCATAGTATCAATTCCAAAACTGAATGTCTATTTCTAGAGTTGTTGGAATCAAACAGCATGAAATATCCTTATTTTGGACAGGAGCAGAATTATCAACAAAGGGTTTTTTCATGTGTTTTATTTCTAAGTTTTTGATTATCTGTCCAGGTACTTGACCCTAACATTCAGTGTCCATAGGAGCAATTGTGTAACTTCCAGCAATGTACCTCATAGCTTTGTCATAGCTCATAGACAGTCAGAGGTTAATAAGCAATGATAGGACATAGTCAGGTATTAACACAGAAATGTCTGGCTTGATTAGGGGATGCTTGTCTAGGTCCACTGATGCATGGGAATGAGCAAGGAAGTGATCATATGTTATAGTGAGTCCAGCTAGCCTGCATGGGGTAGGCAAAGGTGAAGTTTACAAATGTGTATAAGCTGATCATGAAATTGGAATTTGAGTGGAAATATAAAATACTTTCCATTATAATGAGATTAGATTTTAAAAAGGGTTTTGAAAACCAGGTATGGTGGCACACATCTATAATTCTAGTACTTAGGAGGCTAAGGCAGGAGGATCTCACATTTAAAGGCAACCAGGGCTCCACAACAAGACTCACACACAAAAACAAACCAAAAAGAGTTTTTCTAAAAAGAACACAATCATGCCCTGAAATGAAAGGAATGAACTTGTTGTATGCAGTGTAATCTGAGTTCTGGTGAAATGTCACAAAGTGAACCTCATTTGCACTGATAAAATGTGTTGATCACAAAATTCAAAACAGTGTATGATCTTATTTCAAAAAAATAAGCTTATTTCAGAAAAGTAAGCTTAAATATTGCATGGTATGTCTTTCAAGAGAAATTATACATATATATGCATACATATGGGAGCAAAATAGAAGATAAACAGAAAGTAGGAAAAAGTTCCAATAATCCCACAAATTACACATTCTATTGTTTCAAAAATATTTTAGCATATATGCTAGTTGGTTTCATTTATATTACTATTTTTTCTTTGTTGAAAGAAAGTTTTATCTTTTTATTTGTTTATTTCTTCTTTGTCTATGACTTTTTTTAAGGAGAAAAAGAAAAAAACAGAAAAAGGGTACAAGTAACACAAAATTTAAAAAATAAACAATAAGAAATCACTAGTTAATAGATTACATATTCTTATCTTAGAAATAGTTGTTCAAGTTACAAAATTGAAGCATCTCTTTGACTTTTATTTGAGTACCATTTTGGTAATTCTTGTAAGACTTCCACATACTGTAAATATACTATTACTACACTATAAGTTTTTGATTAAATTTTCTTTTAGTTTTTCATGGAAGTAAATAGAAGTCTATTTATGTTTCTTTTATTAAACAAAAAAATTTAAAATGTACTGGAGAAGAACTCAGTACATTCTCAGAAAGAGTTACAAATAAGCCATGTCTATAATAGTGCTCTGAGTTTACTAGAATGGAAGCAAGAACTGATAAATTAATTTATTATTTATAAATAAACATAAATAAGAACAACCACTGGATCATTGTCAGAAAATTAAAAGCCTTTAATATAACTGACATAAGAGTAAATTCTTAACAGTTAAATGTCCCAAACATTCCCATTTCCAACAGCCTTGTTCTCATACAGGGGCACGGGTTTTTCTCACATGCAGGTCTTGCCTCCATCCTAGATGGGGTTCTTTGATCACATCTGCATGATAGTATAGAGTTTTTCAAGTGAATGCATCTTGTTAAAGGATTCTGCACTTGCAATTAAGTCTATCTCTCACTGAGATGATAATTTTTGGAACAATCTTTGAATCTCTCTCTCTCTCTCTCTCACTCGCTCGCTCTTTTTAGTGAATTAATATGATCTATAAGTGAATATTAGGACAATAGAGGGATTCCATGAACTGTAGTTAATTAAATAGGAAATGTAGCTTCATTATCTGTAGATAACAGAGAAAGTTCACAGAAAATTTTTAATTTCCCTAATGTACAAGCAGAACACACAATTCTCGTCCTACCCCATCTTCATTGCCATCCAGCCTAGAGCCCACACCAGTAAGAACTTGCCATTCTCTCACTTTCATCTGGCCTGGGCCAACATGAAGATATTCTTAAATTGTTTTGACTTGAGCTCTTTCACTCATGAATCCAAGTGAGGACTTGGCATTTTTCATTTCTTAGAAGACAATGTAGACTGAAAACAGGGAAGTGAAGGAGAAAACATACATTAGTGGAAAATTTCAGTTCATTTTTGCAAAATAGAAAGCCAGTAAGAAATCTAGTGTAAGCTTATTTTAACATACTCTTTGAACACTTTAGGAAATCTCAAATTGATGGCTGACAAGTTGCTGTTAAAATCATATTGTGTGTGTTTAAACTGTATTTACTGGCCCGGAGAATACAGATAATGGCCCCTGTAGAATAAAGCACACACAGAAGATAATTCATAGCTCTGGTAAAGAATTTAGCACACAGCCTGCCACAAGTGGATACCAAGGGCATTTTGCTTCTTACCACATTTGCTTTTGCTTCCTCACATCAAGGTAGCTAATGCACTATGAGATGTAATGTAAAGGTGGTGAAAATATTTTCAATGAATACATGTTCTTTTTCCTGTCATCTGAGCTAAGGTTCAAGTCATTTTTCCTCCTGCTGTGATGACAGAAAGCCCAATGAACACTGGGAGGCTTGGGAAAGAGAGTAAACATTTTCTCATAAAGGAAATTTCATCTTAAGTCTCAAAAATCTTTAAAAAGTGTGCAATGCCATGTCAACATGGCTACTACCACAACTTTGATTCATATAGTCCACGGGTGCTTTATTCACAACTGTTACTTGTCTCAGACAGCTGGAATACAGTGCAGTAAGCATACCAGACTTGATAAAAAAAAGAATGAGAAAGACTTGATCTAAAATTTCTTAAATTGTCATCTACCAGAGGTGTGTATTTTTCATATAAGTTTTACTACAATAAAGTAAAGGGGAAGGTTAAAAAAAAAGTTTAAGCTATTGATCTTAGGATGCCAGGAATTGGCTCTACTTTGCACAATATTGGATTTTAAAAGAATCAGAACTGGTCTAAAAAGTCTTTGTGATACAGGATTATGTTTGATTGAACAATTTTTTCTTTCTATTTGTCACTATTTCAATCAATGTTTTGAGAAAACAGCAATAGAAAAATGAAAGCAAGAATCAGGCCAGCTGAAAGTAAATCAGGCCAGCTGGAGATGAACCAGGAGGCCACATGCCCTGCTCTGAGAACCAGCCAGTACCCGGCAGGAGAGAAGAGCCACCCTCCTTCCCAAGCTTAAGTAGCCAGCTGATTTAACGGAACACAAGATGAGATGCTAGCAACTAAAATAAAGAAAGAATTTGATACTTGTATTGTTTGGTTGACTTTGCAGGTCTAAAGCCAGTAGTCTGGGCAACTACTTAGAGGATAACAATATGCAATATGGTGACTACTGCGTAATTCTTACTGTCTTGTTTGTGAAAACCAATATTGATCTTATTGCTTTGTTTTGTCTTATTTCACTGTTGTGTATTTTTCCCTTTAAAATAAGAAAATGGAGTAAGACTGAAATGATTACTTTTCACCAAATATTTGCATTAACACCTATGCAAATAATTTACAAATAATGTGTCAGATACTAATATCAAATTTGAAATAATAGCATGAATAAATATTTTGGAATTAATAGAAATGCGTTATCAGTGTAAAGTAAAATGAATGTATGGTAGCAAAAATGTAACAAGCAAGAAGGGAAATGCAAATGCTTTCTTTGATTTACCTAGAAATTAGTTATTTTGTATGGTCACTTTTAGGAAGTTATATATCTGTATTAGGAACTTTTATTCATTCTTCAAAAGCATACTGTCTCACTGTGTGAAATAAACACACACACAGAGACTGCACTGCAACGTCAAGTTTAACAGCTCTGCCACCAACTGTTTGAAATAGAGGATACAGATATAACTGGCTATGCAAAGGACTGTTTTTAGAAACTTATATCATTTATTAGGATCTACATTCTAAAATACAAACTCTGTCAATAATCACTTGTTTTGAATAATTTCACTGAGTTTCGAGGTATATCAATTTTAAGTAAATTAAAATGTCTGTTTTTAGAGCATCTAACCGATACACAGGTCACCAATTCTAAAGGCCTCCAGCAAGTTTCAAGAACAAATGGAACCTTAGAAATCACAGAGAATGCCAGCACATCCACCCTCTAGAAAGTCCCTGACCCGGACTTTGCTCTGGTACCTTTCATCAGTTTCAAGGCATTCTCCAGGTACTGATCCTCTGATAGGCTGACCTTGCAACTTCAGCTCCAGCTTAAAATCCCGTACAGTCCAGACAAAACTGGAGAAGAAACTCACAAACTCTGTAGAATCTTGTATTTCATCAGAATTTGAGGAGGACTTTGCTCTGATTAGTTGTATGAGCTCTGTCACATAACTAGACTTGGTTAAAGAAAAGAATATTCCTACAAATCATTCCTAGGCTTTCCTTATTAAAAAGTAGAATTAGCACTCTCTTTTACCCTAGGTCACTCATGATCCACCAAACTTAAATAAGCCACAGAGAAAAAAATTTCAATATCATTTCCTAAACCTCCAATGTCATCTGGTGGCTGAGGTCCTGAAATGATATCACAGCTGCTCCAGGGCCTGGTGGTTGATGGTGCCATGCTGTAGACAATGATGCTGCTCAGAAGCACAGCCAGGGCAAACATCCAGGAGTCATTCTTAGGGTCACCCTAGAAAGCACAGGTGTTTAGGAGTCAAATCTTCAGAATTTCATT